ACCGCCCAGCGCAAAGTTTACACTGAAAACGTGCAGCCCCATCACCGCGCGTCCTAACGCAATCCTGTTACGTGCATTTATTCTTCAAGGAAACATAACGAATCACAGCTGTTCGTGCGACCTCGTCACGGTATGACGTTTTAATAAGCCAGCCCGACAAGGCGAGCAGAAGCAGACCATAAACAGTATCGTTAACATGGAACATGATGTCACCGTTAAATCCCGTCCGCCCCCGGTAGGATCCGCCCACAAACCCCGATCAATCAGCAAACATGACTGGTAAAGTCAGTTTCCTGTTTTGAAGGTAAAGGTCTTGCGATTGTGGACAGGCGACGGCAACTCCCTGCGAGTCGCCTTCTGTGCGAATAGCCCACAGAAACAAAGGACGGCCAAGTGAACTTGCGCGCACAAACACGGAAACAGCTGTAGTCAGGACCACTCGCCCCTCTACTCAGCCAGAAGTTCAGCTCCGAGATCCCAGAAAATAAATTATATTTATTAGAACACTTTTGATAGTGGATCTATAAAATAATCGTGCCACTGACCAGGTAACATGATGGCCTCTGGCTGTTCAGGTATCGAAGGATATGGGTGTGGCGTACTGGAATGATCTCGCACTGAGAGACTGAGTAAAACACGAAAAACCTGCCGAGATTCAATCCGCGGCTCCTTCGATTTCAAGGCTACAGCGCTGCCTGCTCGGTGGCCAATCCTGGCACAGAACCCGAGTAGCCACGACGAGAAGCCAGCAGCTACGCGTACGAGCTGCACCTCCTACAACCGCATTTGGAGCAGGATTAAAAAATGTCTGCCTAAGAGTCTCTAGGGCGTGATGTTTTGCTTGCCAGTTCCGGCTACAGGCACACCTTGGGCTGTCCAAGTTTGGGCACGAGAGCTCCCACTCACGTACGACGCCAACCAACGTCGAGCTGATCTTCGCGGACCAAAAGCGGAAAGCTGCGATGCAACGCGCAGGGTCACCATCACAAAAAGTAGTTCCCTCCATCATCTTGAGCCCTACCAAGAAACAACATGGCGGACGCACGAACATCTGGGCCAGTGATTAAATGTGCACCTCCCCCCCCCCCCCCCCCGCCCCCAGCGAAATCGGCACTAGCGACAAGCTGCATGTTTAGACGATGGACACAGTCCAAGAATTTAACGATCCCAATTGACATTTCTTGGATTGCCGACGCCTTCAGGCTAGGCCTTGGCCTGAATATTGGTGTAGCAAATCACGAAATTACTCCATTGCATCTAAATTCAGAAGACTGCGACCAGCCACGTCCACTGGAGTGCAAATATTGCCTGCGCTTTACGAGTCCTACGGGGAACTCCCCACAGGGTGTTTGAAAAGTGCAGCATCAGAAAAACATGGAAAAAGGGTAAAGGCTCAAACCCTGTAGAACGAAATTCGAGGATCGCGAATGTTTCCGTGGAGACGCGCCTACATTTTTGGTTTGTAAACAAATAAAAAGAACGCAGAATGGCGCTGTGTGCCGATCGATTAAAGTCTGCAAGCTTCGTGAGAGTGCAAAATAAAACCGCTGTCACTTATTTTCAAAACGCACGAGTCGGACTTCATTTCAGTGACTAACGGGTACAACTGTATCGAAAATAATTCAAATCTGAGTTTTCCCTTTTATACGCGTTTTGTCCGAGTGTTCCGGTTTCTTAACCTTCGTTCCACAAATCTGAAAGTTTCAATTACCAACAGTGGTACATGATTCAGTGTATTTAAATACGAATCATCATTAACCCCGCGTCGAAGCACGGTCATTGCTACAGGTTGTTACGCAAACCGTCTTCCGAAGAGCAGAACTGAGTAATTTTGCGCCACGCCAGAGTCCACTCGAAATTATTTCTTGGTTCCTTTCACTGTTGATGCAACAGCCAGTCCCTGGAAGCGAACCAACGAACATCCGCTGCTCTGTTACGAAACGCAAGGTCGCACGACTCGGCGGCAGTCGCAACACGTTCAAGATTCTGAACGAGAGTACAGAACTGCGCTGCGATACAAATCGATTCGCGTCGGACTCGACAGCTCGCAGGCAACTAAACCGCTCAGTGAAGTGAAGTTTCATGCCGAGTCATCGCTGTGAATCCATCAGCCGTGAAATGGAAGTCGACAGCAACGAAAATTTGGTCAAGCGATGAATAGAAAATGTTCCCAGCCCCGTTACTGGCTTCACACGCCCGTGTGAATTCCTAGCTTTCAGCTGTTTCTCACGATGGACGACCTTAAAAAACCAAGACAAAATACGAGTTTCATACCCCAGTCTGTCACAGAAACGAGCAAAGGTTGAGACAAAATACGAGTTTCATACCCCACAGTCTGTCACAGAAACGAGCAAAGGTTTCTCTGTGCCACTGATATACAAATCGGGACCTGTTGGTACTCAATTTATACGATCCTGTTTGCTAAGAAGAAGAAATCACGTAACACAAGGAAGTAATTTGCTTTATCAATATAAACACAGAAATGTGCATTTTAAACTTTAATTGGGTGTGCAACGTCTTCCTTCTGTATTAAAACTTTAATAATAGGCCTCCTCCTAGTTTTAGTTTAACTCTATGTTGTTTTCATAAAATAAAAACATTTTAATTAACCGCACATAACAATTTGGTTGATAAAGGTTTGTGTCTCCCGAGATGCAAACAGTGTCATAGTTTACATTACTAACTACTCGTGACGTTGTTGCTTAGCAACCCGCAAGTGCTGTTGCCCAACTGAATGTTACACCAAAACAGTGAAATGTTATTGTGGTCTACGCGCACTTTCGTAATATCTTGCTCCAGTTCTGGCAGCCAGAGCAGGCGAGGACAACGCCTATTTAACTTGGAAGAAGGAAACATAAAAAGTTATCTAAGATTTGAGGTTGAGTATGAAGATTTCCGTCTTCTGGGTTGTTGCGCTGTGTAGTCTGGTCGATGTTAGCCAACGTTTCAGAGGTCATACTGCCTCCATCATCAGGGCGATGAATATTCATATTACGCAGCGCAACGACCCAGAAGACAGAAATCTTCATATAAAAATTATACATTTGTTTTGTGCGTGTCGCATTTACGATATTGTTAATCAATGTTCATTTTAATATTAAAACCGAACGTGTATTCGCAAAACCAACTTGATACAAAAATTCTAATGTCCTTGAAACTGTGTAATGAACTATGGTTACGAGGTCGTAAATAGGACTGGGCTGTTTCTACAAAACAGCCACACCTGTTGTAATAACAATGCGTAATAAATATTCGTACAAGCACTGTTTGATTTGTTACTTTATTCGAAGACCGCCATTATGTCATTTTGGGAGATGAACAGTGGGTCCCAGCCCATCGTAACAATAAAAGATGGGGGCCAAAGATGATAAATATCCACACAAAGTGCTGGTTGCAAAACCTAAAACAAAGGCCCACTTGGGAGACCTGGAACGAGATGTGAGGACCACTAAAACGTATCTGAACGAAACAGGATGGTAGGGCGTGGTGGATTGGAATCATCTGGCTCAGAGGCAAGCTCTTGCCTACGCAGTTCTGCATAAAAGGGACGGAAGATCTTGGCCAGTTGAACCACTACCAGCTTCTCAAGTCGGGAAATGGAGGTATACCACATGCATTCTTAACATCGGCTCCACGCCCCGGCCGCTTTAGCCCTCGTACCCATTGTCTAGGACGAGTGCGGTGGGCCCTAGAACCCGTGCAAATGCTCCTCAAAAACTCGAAACCCTGTCCTCCAGCCTGTAGCGTAGTCGCTCAGTGAGATTCGATATTGAAATGTTCGATTCTGTCCTAAAATTCTCGCCTGTCAAGGTCAAAACGAAGTAACTTCTTGGCCGTAAATAATCTGAGTTATTTTTAAAACACAAAGGATTCTTGGTCCTAGAAGCAAACAAAAGAAAGTTAAACGCAACTTGCCGGGTTCTTCTCCCCGCGTCACTGTACCAACCAATCTCGCAGTGAGAAAAACAGAGATGCCCCACTCAATTCACTAGAAACAATTTCGAGTCCCAAAGAAATCAATGCCATCTGCCAGTGTAGCCCCCAAAACTGGCCAGAATGTCATTCCTTAGGTAAAATCGGTTTTTCTCATCAACATCACCTCCAACGCGAATGGTGAACTACGACCTACACGTGAAAAATAATTTAATGTAATTACGATGTTATTGTCGCGTTTATCAAATACATGCTTCTCGTGTCATGTTAAATTGTTATTAATTGAATCACAAGTTGGAGATCTTGTGTGGTTTAGGTTAGACGTGAAAAATAAAACTACGTGGATCATGAGGATACTAACAACGCCCTCTTATTGCATACGACGACGATCGTATTTTAAACGCCCTTGTTTTTGGTTTGGCAACTTTCTGGCTCGCGGTATGCGAGATTTTTGTAACTCACAAACAGGGAAATGCCATCATCCCCTTGAGGCACGGAGTGAGGTATATATAAGTACGCCACAGCCCAAATAATGGCTCAGCTTTCTAAGTCGACTGTCAAGATGGTAAGTGCTACATTAACTTGTTTACCAAACGACACTTTGAACTGCTCAGACTAGAGCGTGGTACAATAGGTTACTAGGTGAATAATGACGTGAAAGGGGCATGGTAGGAAGTGGTCGTGGCCTAACTTCAGATACTATACAGTCATTTAGCTAGAGAGACTTAGGAAATCCGACGTTTTAAAAAATCGGTGCATGGAAGTTCTCTGGGGGTCATTCCATGTCAAGTGAACTAATGCATGTGGCAAAATTTTATAACACTTCTCGGTTTTCCTCATATCACCATTTCATAGACAATATAACACACAAAAGAAAACTAAAACACATGATATTTTCACAAAAGTTAACATGCCAATAACTATGGAACCATTGATTATTTTCACATTATTTTACGTGAAATTGTAGATTATGAAAATACTTTTGGGGCATATTTACTTTGTTGTTATTACCAAATTTGAGCTGTATTTTAGTTTAAATTTAAAACAAAACTGCACCACAAGGAGGACTCTCAAGAGAACTCGGCTTCGATAACTCAGATAACAGATAACTGAGGTGAAATAAAACGCAACATAACCTTACTACATGTGGAAAGGAGGACTCTCAAGAGAATTCGGCTTCGAGCAGTCCTCAGATAACTGAGGTGAAATAAAACGCAACATAACCTTACTACATGTGGGTATCAGTAAGCGATCGCAAAAAGCAAAATGACATCTCGGAAGTTTACCTTCTGCCACGAACTGTGTTCTTCATAAAGTCCAGTTATACTGATGTACGTTTATCCTCTTATTTAATTACTCCATGTGTCACACTGGCTAAACTTCTTTTCACAAGTTCACGAACAAACTTACAATTGCAAACTCATCACTCCTATTTTTCGCAAGCAGTGTCACCAACGGTCGCATCGAGTAATGAAATTTCCCCATTACGGCAATATCCTTGATTTTACATTCTACTAACATGTGAAGATCTAGATATAAACGCTAAAGCCACATTTAATGGTGTAACATGCTGGATAAATGATATTATTTTAAAAATACCTCCCCGTCTTATCCGGCATAGTGGGGGCATGACGGCGAAAATTACTGTAAATGTTGACCCCATCAACAGTGAAGATGTTCCTAACACTTATTACCAACTTATCTTCGTAAAGTTGTCACGGATTTTCTTGAAAGTGCAACCAGTACTTTTTGCCACGTTTGTCTGACAGAAAACCTTATGGGGTCAGCAGTTACGGCCTGACATTTGTCATTACTCTATTTACAGAGAACAATCCTTCTGCTGACCACAGTGGCCCTAGCTGTGGCAATACCACCAACACCAAATGCAAGGCGATTGCCAAACCCACCTCCTCCTCCTCCTGGAATCACTTTCGGTCACCCTGGCAAAACAATTCGTGCAAATATTGGTCGCAGAGAAGACTTCATTCCACCACAAACTGTGGTCGCACCTCCACCGCAAATACCTGCCTCAGCTTTTGTATCTCCACCTGCACCACTGTCGCAACCATCACCACCCAGCCCTGCATATGGAGCACGAAATGTATAAAGGTAACTATATGTTGAAATAAAATTGAACTAATTATGTTGCATATGATTATAATAATGTCATGAATATTCACTGGATTTCCAACTTCACAAGCTGCTATAGGCAATGCAGCCAAGACATTGCAGACAGGGTGCAAATGTTTCGGCCAGTGTCCGTGATAACGCTTGGCGTTTAATTGAACTTCATGAAATCACAAGGACTATTCAATAGATTGAGAAGGATACCTACTTTATTCTGGATCATTACAAGCACATTCCTTTTGAAAATAAGCTCCTCTGAACTGTTTCGCAAACCCAAATATTTGAAGAATCGCCAATCACATTATTAGGTATGTCACGAGTAAGAACAAGAAATATGAAGACCTACAACAAATCATATTTTTAAAGTTATCAAAACCACAAGATGATGGATAATTAAAGGTAGTAAAGAAACTTCATATGAACGATAGCTTATCAGAAAACTGCAATATGCAATGAAGTGTCATTATTAAATTAAAATAGGGGTGAAGGATAAATGCAGTAACAATAAAAATTGGAACAGAATGAATGAATGATTTGTTTTGTGGATAAACTACCATTTTCTTACTCTTTAAGTTTCTGCTACTACAGTTTCAAAATTGCAGTTCCACTTACTCGAGGTACGTCTTTAGATGGAAAAAGATTCTTGACTTGCCATTTTTGTAAATCAAGAGTCAACAATAACAGAAAACTGTTCAAAAAAAAGAAGGGACAATATTATACTGGGAGTTATGTCCTTATAATGAAGTAAATATGTCCTTATGCATTCATTTTAATTTATGAAAAAATAGAATTGTTTAATTAGTTCTTTTTGTCTTCACAGCACATAATCCAATAGATTAGTTGCGCTGTTTACAATTATCCAGCCTTACTTAGTTACCTTCATCATGGAAAATTATCTCCAATAAGAGTCATTTACATAAATAAAAGAAAAACAAACAGGATTGCACATTTTGAGTAATTTTGGAACGAAACTGACACACAGTTCAGATTTATACAATTTACTGGCCCGTCTGAAATAAGACGGGAACAGAAGTCAATTCTGATAATATGCAACATTTGACACAGTCCCCATAATTAAAATAATGCATGCATTAATTTCTTATTTACTTTCAGGACCGGTAAAACTAATGACATCATTTGCTGTACAAGAACAAACAACTTTCTGAATACAGAGTTCATCGTACATAAATGTCTGACAGATGTTACTACAACTCAAACTTGTCTTCACTGTCAGAAAAGTTACAGATACAATTACCAATTACATTTCTGTAAATGTACGTCATATTGCGTGAATTTTATCAACAAATATATTGTCTGGTTCTTCCAAATGGCCCCTTTCATTCACATTTTGCAAACGAAATTATCTTGTGTATTTTCCATTTCTCCTACACATGCTCTACGACCCACCCACCAATTCCCACCTAGTACAAACTATGTAGCTCCTACTTACTCCATCCACCAGTTACTTGCTCTCTCGTAGGTCCAGATATCCTCCTCAGAACTATGTTCTCAGACACCACTGATCCAGTCTTGTCCTTATGTTGGTAAAGTAGTGGCAGTTGAATGATGACTCAGTGAGCCAAAGAATGGGAAGGAACCGAGGTTCTGAAGAATCTTGGAAAAAAGGAAGAAGAGGAACAAGGTGAAATGCAGCTTTGCTCAGACTGCATCCATCTAAAGAGGCCCTGATAATGGAGGCAATATTTCCCTATGACACATCAGTATCTACCAGACTACACTGTGCAACATCACAGATAACAGCGATCTTCATACTCATTGCCACGAGAACCTGAAGTCTTACCTTTGTCATCTTTCATAAACCTACCTAAGATTCAATCCCTGATTATCAATACATCATCTAAATTATAACAAGTGGATGTCAAGAGCGGAGATTCAAACTCCTTACCCATGTGACCAAGGTAACTAACATGGTGAACATCGTAAGTTCCATTGCATTTACCGAAATGTTTGAAAATTATGAAACTTTATCATTCACTTCTTTGTGTGCTTGTCATTTTTTTTCAGAACACTTTTGAACGTTCTTTGAATTTGAGATATAAAGGTTTATCAGGTTTGTTGATGGGTAGAGATTTGCAATCTAGAATGCCTCCAGTCCAACCAATCTCATAATGACGAACAAGCTGTAAACAATAAAACATAATTTCTTACCAAACAGTGACACTTCATCTTTCATAATACGATTTTGTCAGCTCACATTTATTTCACCTTCAAAGATACCACTTGTTTTTTATGCAGATATAAATATATATATATATATATAATTACCACTGGGTTAATAGGTTAACCAAAGAAAAGACTTCGGAATGAACCGAGCATCACCCAAGTTCTTTCTGAGACTACTGACACAGGAGGAAAGACAAAAAACTTCTTGTCTGTGGGTTCAGACTTACATCGGTATGCAGACAGCCTGAGAACTTTTTATAAAATATCATAATGCGATGAAACATGGGAATATGATGACCCCAAAACTAAACAGTGATGATGAGTAAAAAATTAAAGTTATTGCAACGGAGCAGCTGCCGGCATATTCAAAAGCCGGTTCTCGGGGTTCGTTCCAACACTATCACGAACAGTGAAACAAGTACGTACATGCTGAAGGGGGTTAATTGGGCCCCGCACACCACTCTGAAGACTGTTTAGAACAGCTAAAAATTTAACGAGATCTATATTACACATTCTGAACATTCTTTTTATGGAAAAACATCTGAGAAAAATTGTCTGTTCTGAGCTTCACATAAAACAAGGGCTATATCTACAAATACGGACCAAATAATGTTTAGTGTTCGTCCCAAATACCATACTCACGGAAATACAGGCAGACAGTCAAATACCAGATATAACATCTGCATCATGCACTTTGTGCAACAAACGTACAAGAGTCTTACAATTTCCTTTTTATTTCCCATTATGTGCAGTAAGAGACCCTTACTTCTGTAACCATGGCTTTTAGTTCCAGTTTGGAGTTCTGTCACAAATGTTTTAGACCACAATTTTTCTGCAGATACAGAAGTTTTGAAAACATTCAATTAAGCCAATGGAGTAACTTACTGACCTTTAGGATGAGCACGTGCATGTTCTGCTCAGCCAACCGTCTTGCTATGCATGTCCGACGTCCATGACCAAATGGGAGCACCAAATATGGGCTCACTTGTTTGTAAAGTGGATGACCTTTAATCCATCGTTCAGGTACAAACTTGTTAGGATCAGTGAAATATTCTGCCTGACGACAGCTAACCTGGTTCTGTGTTACGACAACAGTCTGCAACAAGGTATAGATAATTCATGTACAGAGAACACCAGATTTGTAAAAGAAATCATGCACTTGATGTTAGTGGCATTCATACAAATCCTTGAAACAACTAATGATTCCTTCAAATACTTCTGACTATGGATGCGGTGGCAGAAATTAAAAATGTATAATACAACTGCCATGTTTAAATAAATACATTTCCTGACACCAAGTTCATAACTTCAACACCAAGCCTGGAAAGGTCTATTCTGCAGAGTACAAAAAAGTTCCAAAGAAGTTCCTTCCACCATTTCCTAAAGGCATGATATTAAATACTTCATACTGGCACTAATAGATCCCACAGCCACCAATAAATGGCAGTACGATGGGTAAAGATGTCATGACAGGGAAACGTAACCTCACCTCCACAAGTTCCGCACTCTTATCATGCTGGTATTACCAATCGCAAAAAATTAAACAGCATCAGTTTGAAGCAGCTTCCTACAGCACATGTCCGTACCAAATCTCAGAAAATTCGTTCGGCTTTTCACGCATTGTTACTGGCATACAAATGAACGTCATGGGCAATAATGTCACAACAAAGATGCAATATCCTGCCTAACAAACCTGAGCATCAGTTGTGTTGGTGTCACCACTTGTATGAAATTAAAATTAATGAATTTTAATTAGCCTCCAATGGCAAAACCTTGAAACCAAATTTCACGAAGAACCACTTAGCCATTCTCGAGGTATGTGCATACCGACAGACATCGCAATTCCAATGCCGGAACCTTGAATAAGCAATTACGCTGACTCCTTTCAGAATGCGGTAGCCTAAACTTGACCATTCTATCGTACTCACTCCTCTTGGCACACGGTAACCTGAGAGCATCGCATCCTGGGCCAGCACTCTTCCAATACCAACAGACACAGGGTTCAATCTCAAGCTCTCCTTTAGGACAGCTTTCATATACTGAGCCTGGGAGAGTACAGCAGAAGTGGCAGGCGAGTTGGGTTCAGTCAGAAGCTGGCAGGATTCTTCATACAACTTGTTCTGGGCTTCTGGATTAATGGCCAAGTGATAGAGAGCAAAACTTGTTGTGTAAGTTGTCTGTGGATATAAACAGGAAGCAGTTTACGCACGTGTGTTCAACTTACAAACAAGACATGTCCCACATTATTTACTTCTCCAATCACTAGCATTTCATCTATGTTCTGGAACAACAAACAAGAAGAATGTTCAGCCAGGTGTCAGAAGACATCAAGAGGAGATGGAAGACTAGTAAGAAATGAAGAAAGAAGAACCTGGACGGATTTTGTCCAGCAGCGGATATAAGAAAGAAAAAATACTAGAAGAAGAATATTCAAACATTTTATGGGAGATATTTGGATTGTTCAACCACACGCCAGTGTTAGCTCACCGTATCCACGCCCGCTAACAGCATGTCCATTGCCATTCCTGTTACATCCTTCACATCAAGATCCTCAGATGATAAATATAACTCTAATAATGATTTAGTTTCATTTCCTGTCACTGCACACTGTGTTAAGGACTCCTTTTTCTTGGCTATAAAATCTATTGCAATCCTGAAAGACATAACAAAATCACAAGCCATGCCACATTCAGTTACAGGTTGAAACAGCAGAGACTGCAAAAGCATCTGCAGCGGAAGACATCAACACCTGACAATACTACAGTCAGTAACCTGAAATCGAAGTACAGAGTTCTAAACGTTTCCTGCCTCTCTATCCCCTCCGACAGTCTTGTTCACCACTTCCACCATTCCATCTGCTCCTGTTTCTTCGATTATTCTTGTCTCGTTCTGAATCACAAACTCATGCAGAGCAGACTGTCAAACTGAACTATGATGCAGTTTGATTTGTAACTTCGAAATAAGTAAATCATATGTTAACAAATGTATCGCAATGGTTATGGGGGCAGATGCAACAGTTATTGCAGACTACAGGCTGCTCTCAACACTAACTTGCGAGAGAAAAAAGCCAAAGAACGTGTTTGTTTTCACCAGTATGTTCACACAATGCTCTTGAATCATATTTTCAAAACAAAAATGCTTATTTTACTTTGCTGTATTCACAGATCTTAAAAGAAACTTCTGAAGTCATAAAATTAGGTACAGCATGCCTGAAAAGCAAACTCAAAGCAACTTTTTGTCTAAACAGTGCAAGACAATAATGAAAGATAACAAAGACCACCAGTTTTAGCTTACTGTTGCAAGAAAATTAAACAAACTGATCGATCTGTAACAACCACAATGCACCTAAAAAGTGTTCAGAAATACTTATCCAAACATTGCAGCTGCATGGTTAGTATTCATGCTACATATTCAGGAGGTCCCAATCTCAAATCTCAATTCACAGATTGCTTATCCAGAGTTGTTTTCCTGAATCCCTCCACACAAATGCTGAGCCAGTACCTTAAATCAGCCGTGACATTACAATATCATCATTAAATAAACCGGTAATAAATTAATAAATTAAAACAGGAACATACACACTGTAAGTGGAATAAAGAAATGTTCACTTTAATGCCACACCCCAAGTTCATCAGCGACAGGTCAGCGATCACCCAAATTTCAAGCAACAGGTTTAGCGACCTTGTTTTAAACTCGTATGAAGTGTGCAGCCATACTTTCGAGAATCTTTCTAAACTGATACCGTATTGAGCATACTGTGATGGTTTATGACTGGAAGGAAACCAGTATTTTAGAAAAGCACATTCAGTGATGTAGAATCAAGAGCTTAAAAATTCAATACTCACTGCTCCATGTATTTCTGAGACTTCTTCAGTTTCCTGTACAATCTTGTCTCCACCCATCGCCACAGCTGAGGTCCATTGTCTGTTAATAGAATAGTGCTATTGGTTGTCAAGGCTGCCTCAAGCAGCCGAGAAGACCGTGATCCCTTTTGACGTTGCAAATCACTCAGACATCCCAGCTGAACATCAAACGCCACAAGACAAATCACTTGAACACACATGAATCAGAAAACGTCAATACAGAAAACAAAAGGAATAATGGAATCAGGTCAAGGAAATGCTGAACTTCACTTTGTTAAAACACTAAAATTTGTATATATACAGAAAATGATCAGCCTGCGTTGACTGTGTGTTGACGCACAGCCCAGCTGACCACGCATCACAATCTGGGATGTATTTAATAGGCTCATGAACCCAGAGACTGCACCACAGTGACCAGCTGTGGTTTGAACAACTAGTGGTTCATGCCTGGCAGAGTATCAGACCTTTCTCTTTGTCGTAGCATCCATAATGACTCTGGGCCCATCACAACCTCATATTTCCAAGGGCTCCTTCCTGGGAAGGAGAGCGTGAAGGTAATCGCTCAAGTCCGCAAACAGTTGATGTTCTGTCCCATTTTTCTCCAGTATCTATCCAATACAGAATATATGTTCAGTAGTTGATCTATTATGTCAGAACCCAAACTGATAATCCCCACTTCATATGGAGTGCAGCCGTACTCACCAAAACATTGCTGGGTTCGAGAACACTTCTCGATCTTCCAACACAGAAAAGCCACAAGAACCATGGACCAAACTGCTGGTTTCTTTTCCATGACTGAAAAATCACACTGTGAATAATATTGTACTTACGTTCCAGAAAGAGTCTCGACAATTCATCCGCAAAATCTTGACATTCCCCGGCTGACTCTGTCCAAATCTTGAGATGACCGATGAACTCCTGGATGATACGATCAGTTTGAGGCAAATACAACCTCACACTTTGGGGTCGACTTAAA